AAAGGTTAAGAAATGATCCACTGCTTCATCAGCAGTATCACTCAGTTATAGAACAGCATTTAAAAATGGGTATAGCTGAGGAAATTGATCCAAGTTCTGAAGAAACAGGAAGAATTTATTACATGCCTCACCAGCCAGTTATTCGACCTGACAAACCCGTGAGAGTTGTATTTGATGCATCCAGCCATTCGAAAAATGAATACTCTTTAAACGATTGTCTCTATTCCGGTCCTAATTTAAATCCACCATTGTTAGAGATATTAATACAATTTCGTACACATAGCATAGCATTTACTGCCGACATTGAACAAGCCTTTCTCCAGATTTCTCTGTCACCTGAAGATAGGGATGCTGTAAGATTTTTGTGGGCAAATAACCTTACAGATAAGGATGGGAAACCTAACACGAAAAGTACTTAGGATGACTCGCGTTTTGTTTGGAGCTACATCCAACCCATTTTTGCTTGCCGCTACTATCAAACACCACATAGATACCTTTAAAGAAACAAATCAGCTAGCAGTTAAACTATTGAACGAATGTTTATACATAGACGATTTAATAGGTGGGGATGAAGACGAAAACGAAGCTAAAACTCATATATGAAGATATTAGATATATATTGAAGGCTGCTGGTTTCAACATGCGAAAATGGAAAACAAATTGTGGGAATCTGCAGGAAGTTTTTGACGAATACGAAAATGGTGAAATCCAGAAAGTTCTGGAACAGAAGGTATTGGGATATAAATGGAATTACAAGGAAGACCTTCTGAAGATAGAATCACAAAATCTAACTAATCAAGCTCAAGGGAAAACAAAGCTAATGACAAAAAGAGAAGTTCTTAAAACCATTGGAAAGCTTTACGATCCCATTGGATTTATAAGTCCATTCACTATTAGGGCAAAAATACTAATGCAGGAAATTTGGCAACTTTGGGGTAGATTGGGATGATCCGTTACCATTGGACTTTGAAAACAGAATGAAAAAATGGATTAATGAACTGTCAGCGATTCAGGATGTAAACATTCCGCGACATTACTTCCGAAAGACTAACAAGTCTGAATTGAGAGATATTCAAATGCATTGCTTTACCGACGCAAGTCAGAAGGCATATGGAGCTGTGATATACCTGCGATACGTCACGACGGACAGTGAAATAGGAAGTAGTTTTGTCATTTCCAAAAACCAGAGTAGCTCCACTGAAGAAGCTGTCCCTTCCAAGATTAGAGCTGATGGGGGCACTCATCGGAGCAAGATTAGCCTCAAATGTGAAAGAACAGTTAGAGAAAAGACTCCAGATGAATGTATATTTTTGGTCAGACTCTTCTGTTACGTTACATTGGATAAAGGGCGATTTAAATAAATGGAAGCCATTCATCCAACATCGAGTAATGGAAATACGAGAGAAAACATCACCTGAGTCCTGGAATTATTGCCCTGGAGATGAAAATCCGGCTGATATGCTGACCAGAGGAACAAAGACAAATTCCACGAAAGGAATAACGTTGTCTGAACTACGAAATAGTGACATGTGGTGGCATGGACCTAAGTGGCTATTACAGAGCATCGATTCGTGGCCTAAACTTGCAGAATCAGTAAGAGATTTCAAGGATCAATGAAGAGCTTGAACTTCGAAGGGGAGCTGTAGTGAACTCAACAGTCACAGGTGAAAATTCCATTGAGAACGAATTCATTAAAAGGTATTCGTCATTCAGCAAATTGATTAGAACTACTGCGTGGTGTTTAAGGTTTGCGAACAACTGTAGAACCAATCCACCATTAAGAAAAGAAAGTTTTTTGAGTGCTTCTGAACTACAGAATGCAACAAAGGTGCTAGTCAAATGTGTACAACATTCTGAATTTCAACCTGAAATTAAGTGCCTGCAGTCGAAACGATCAGTTCCAAGTAATAGTAAGGTTTTATCCTTAAATGTATTTCTGGATGAAGATGAACTTTTACGAGTTGGTGGGAGACTACGTTACTCCAATCTTTCAGAAGACCAGAAACATCAACTTCTTTTACCCAAAAGACATCATTTCACTGAATTACTCATAGATTATTATCACAAAAAATCATCTCTTCATTCGGGCGTTCAAACAACACTTTCTCTTATTAGACAATTATACTGGATACCTTCCGGACAAGATAGAGTTAGACGCGTTATAAGTAAATGCATGACGTGCTTTCGAACAAGGAACCAAACCATAAACCAAATGATGGGAGACTTACCTAGAGATAGAGTTGTAATAACTAGACCATTCGAAAAAATAGGACTGGACTTTGCAGGTCCAGTTATCACCAAGCCTAATTTGAAAAGATCTAGAGTTACGTTTAAAATCATACATAGCGATATTTATTTGCTTTAGTACAAAGGCTATTCATCTAGAAGTAGTATCGGATTTGTCTACTGAAGCATTTCTAGCATGTCTTAGAAGGTTTATTGCCAGACGATCTAAACCATCCATTGTTTGGAGTGATAACGCTACGAACTTCAAGGGAACGAAGAATGTTCTTGATAAACTCTTTAGAATTTGTAGATCGGATCCTATTCAGCGCTTTAGTTCCGAAGAAGGTATAACATGGAGATTTATTCCTCCTTCTTCCCCGCATTTTGGCGGATTATGGGAGGCTAATATAAAATCAATGAAGAGAATTTTGACAAAGGTCGCGAAAACGACAATTTTAAACTTTGAAGAGCTGTATACATTAATTACACAAATAGAAGCCTGCTTGAACTCTCGACCTCTATCACCTATTTCGGCTGATCCAACAGATCTTCAGCCTTTGACTCCAGGTCATTTCCTAATAGGAGCTCCACTTTTGTCGATACCAGAACCGAATGATTCTGTAGATTCTTTGACCTTGTCTTCTAGATGGACTTTAATTCAAAAACTTAGAGCTAATTTCTGGAACCGTTGAGCGTGGAATATCTTAATCATTTGCAGAACCGCTTCAAAATGGAATCAAGTGAGATCCAATCTCAAGGCAGGACAACTAGTCTTGTTAAAGGATAAAAACAAGACACCCATGAAGTGGACACTAGCTCGCATCGAGGAAACCTTTCCTGGTCCAGATGGACTAGTACGAGTCGTAGACGTCAGAACTTCAGATGGAATCTTTCGCCGAGCCGTCTCCAATATCAGTCCACTCCCATTTCCAAATGATGTTGGACAATTGTCCAACGGGGGCCGGGATGACTAGAAACTTTCACTATGCCGATGTTCCGGTTTGATTAGAAACAAACTTTTCTCTGCTTCAGAATGGCAACAGTGAGAACTTGACTTTCGATTTGTTATGACGCAGCTAGAATGATGCTCATGAGATGTAACATTAGATTCAATTCTAGATTCTAGATTAGATTAATTTTAGTATTTTAATAAATCCTTTTTAAAACTAGATTGAGTATTTGATCATAGAATTATAGCTGAACCATCGCTTGCAGAAATTTAGATGTGGCATTTAGATACGTCGTTAGATAGTTAGATGTGTAGGCAGCGACATTCGTGATTCGATTAGTGTACATTATTGCGTACATAAACACTACTAGAATTTGCACAGCAAACATTTAAAAGTCTTCCATTTATAGGAAAGTAGATATATCTTTTCAAAAACTCAAAGATATTTTCAAGTTTTCTTTGGCGTTCAAGGCATAGTTTTAAAAATTTTATGCAACTTCATTGCCATATTTCTACTCAAAATTAATACTTTCATGTATAGGTAAACGATTAAAATATTTTGTTTCTTATCATTGATAAGATCGTAATAAGAAATTCATCAAATATCGTGTTTTATCTGTAATCCCAAGCCATTATATCAATACATATGTTTTTATTTATATCTTGGAACATACTTTTCTGCAAAAATGATCTAATGTACTAAAAAATTTATTTGGTATTTGCATATTGTTATTTGTAATATTTTGTATTAGACTGCACTGTTTATATTAATATCAAAGCAAAATATGAATTTGAGTAAATAACATTTATTTTATTGTGTTAAAGAAAATTGTTTTCCAAAAACTGAACCAAAAATTTTTCATTTATACATATATAACGTGTTTCAACATTTTAAAATAACTGCTTTTTAGATAGTTGAAAATGCTTTTAAAGAAGCATTGAATATAGAGAAAGAACAAGTTCAGAACATATGCAAAGATGTAAAGGAAGCAGAGGAGCATGATGCTAGACAACATCAAAAGTACATCGATGCTATGGAAAATCTGTATCCTTTTTTAAAATGAAAATTTTGTTCTTTCATATTTTGAAAATTATTTTCAATATTTATCTTTGTACAGCATCTTTTCTCTCTCTCTCTCTCTCTCTCTCTTTATCTCTTCTCCTGTATATTTTTATTAGTATAATTTTAGCAGATGATTTCAGTATTTGTGACCTGTTATTTTTAAAATAGCAAGTATATGCATGTAATACAGTGGCAGGGAAAATTAAAAGAATAGCCATAAAAAGATACCTTTTCTTAATTCTATTAAATGACGTCCATTGAAAGGTGGCTTTATTGCATAGAAATATTCAGATTTTTATGCCTTTTCCTTTGGCTTGTGAGGAAAGGAGTTAAAGGGATGTTTTAAATTCTAATTTTGAGGATTGTGCAAGTAGTTAGATAATATTTTTAGTGTGGAAAATGAAATTATATTACTGAGATAGCATTTGATGTATTGCAAGAAATGGCATATGATTGGAAGAATGGAAGCAAGACAGACACTGGCATACATTTTTAAAGACCTGGAAGTAGCTAAAAGCATGATACGAAGAATCTAGAAATGATTTTAAGAGGTTATCATTTCTAACGGCAGTCCCTGCTAGACCAGACTTTTCTGAGAAACGAGATTCTGATAGCACTGGATTAAATAGGAAGATTCCTAGAAAAAAGAGCCCCACTGGAAGCAAAGACCTGCCTAGCTGCGGAAATGTTGCAGCAGCTACGCAGGATGTTTTCAAACCTCACCAAAAATGTCTAGGCTGGAGTTCTATCCCAGGTGGAGATCAACCAATCAGATGAAAGTTCTGCTTCTGAAGGATCATGTGATCTCAATATGAATGATAGTCGATTACTGTTTGGCATTCAAGTCTTTGTATTAAGTGAAAATGGTAACCTAGCTACGTGGGTTTCCTGTAAATGTGCAGGTTCTGAGAATTGTCCCTTTCGACGTCTAGTCCCATGTAGATGAAACATAATGTGATTTGGGACCTTAGATACTGGTGATGTATACAAATAACATGCCACAACAGATTCTCAGGACCATTATTTGACAGCAATTGATAAAAGAAAGGGGCAGTTGATGTCCGCTCAAATTGCAAAGGATTTAATTACAGCTGTAAGAAATTAACTGTCCAGATGTACTGTGAATAGGAGGCCACTTGAAAGAGAGCTGCATGCAAAACTTCAGACTACAAAATGCACCCATTTGTAGTCATGCAGAGATAATAGTGATTGGAGCCAAGTTCTCATCGCTGATGAGTCTTGTTTTAATTTGGAGTACGATTCCAGATGTGTTTTAGCTAGAGAAAAAAATTACACACTATAAGCCTGAAAATCCCCATGAAAGGTATCAATACAAAAATGGGGCATCATTTTGAATAGCCACATTGAAGATTTAGCTGCTATTTTACCAGTGCAGCCATGAATACCAAAATATACAAAGATGAGGATTGTGATCCTTATGTTGAGTTGTTTTAGAGGAGCAATCGGTAATAACTTGCATTTAATTTCTGATAGTACTCATTCCGATCATGCTGCACTAATGGCTGATTATCTTGAGGATGAAATAATCCAATGGAGGAATAAACCACATATTTTCTGGATTTAAATTCTATAAAAGAATTGTGGAATGCACTAAGATACCAAGTTTTATCAATGCAATCTCCATCTGGCACTCATGAGCTTCACTATTCATCATGAATATGCTTTGTAGATCATAGAAAATCACTGTAAAGCTTACATTTCAGTCAGGAATAACTGCTCATCTTATTAATTATTTATGAATCTCTGAAAAATTTCAACATCAATTTTTTTTGTGTGCTTCGCATGATATCTTGCTTCCTATGTTCTTATTTATTTATTATTGTTGTTGTTGTTATTATTATTAGGTAGAAATCGCAATTCTGCATTTTAAAGGTATGTCAGGTGTGATGAAATAAAAATCTTGGGCAGTTTCATGTTCTTAGCTACAAAGTCATTCAAACTACATCAACTGTTATAGTTGTTCCTTTAATTTTTGCCTGCCAGTATAAGATTAATGATAAGAAATTAATATTAAATCCTAGTTTAACATGTCCTGAAAGATTAATCCTAGTTCCTGAAAGATTCAGAGAACTATGTAAGCTCAGTCAGTTTATTGCTATGTGATGACATTTTTGGCTGTGAGATGTGAGATTTTTCACTCATTGATGTTCCCAAAATTCAGCATGAACGGGAGCAAGTTCTCATTATTATAAGAAATTTAAAAACCAATTCATTTATGAAAACTAGCTCCTATCTCGCCAAGATAAGCAATAGGTACATTTTAAAACAGTCTTTTTTAGTGAATAATAATATAACTTTTTCAAGGAAATAATTATTTTATGCTTTATACTTAATAATTAAAATTTTAATTCTAATTATTAAAAATGCAAGCATAACTCAATGAATTTTATTTTATTCATCGATATCAATACCTCCTCTGATTTTGAATTTGTCAAGTCTGGCGTATAATTACTCTTCTGAATTCTGTGTAGCTACATTGCTCCTATTTTTACATATAATAAATTTCATGTGTGGAAATATTTGCTTGCATTTATAAGTTGAGCTGAATGGAGACAAAAGGGCAAAGCCAGTTTTTCAGAGATGAAAGCTTCATAGGATATGATGCTGAGCACATTGATTTTCAGACGTCACAGTCTTCTTATTTTTCTAAATCTTTCCACAATGTCTTGAATTTATCCATTCATAATGCTGAACTTTTAAAATCAATTATTTCTAAACTCAAATTGTGAACTTTTAAGCAGGGTTCGTACGGTCCTTAAAAGTCTTTAAGTTTTTTGGAATCGATTTTTGGTCCTTAAAAGTCCTTAATTTCGGCCAAAACCGTCAGAAGGTCCTTAATTTTTAATCATCTAAAATTTCTGACTGTTTTTATGGCTGCCATTTTGAGTGTGAATTTGCATTTTGGAGGAATATTTTTGGCAATTCTCTGACAAATATCATTGTCTTTTGAATGGGTGAATGCGTTCATGGGTTATAATTTGTTCCTATTTCTTATATAAAGGGTGGGGTAGAGTTTCTGAGCAAGTGTGAAACATAAAGTATTAGAAATTGTTTCATTTTGTCTAGTGAAGAGCTCTTAAACAACTTTTTGCTTTTAGGGATGTGAATTCTTTTATTAAATTGCTCTAAATTTGGCGACTTATCAGCATTGGCGATTTTAAGATCAGTTTCTATTGAAAATTTTTAATTCCGAGATCTGGGAATTTTTCGACGATTTTTTTAAAACGTAACATTGATAAGTTTCATTAAAATAATGGTAATATATTGTAATTACATTTAAGAAATAACATTAAAATAAAGCATTTTTATTTTTTGCTGTATTATAAAGTTCCATTTTGGCCACTTTTTATACAATGTTTTGAATCTGAAAAATAAGTGAGGTATAATGCTATAAAGCACAATTTAAGAAACAGTTCTTAGCAAAAGCAAATTACCTATGTAATTAATTAAAAATTTCTTTTTAACTTTTTCCTGGTAAGAGTTTCCTCATGTAATTGTCTCAGAATATGCATCAGTTTTCTCTATAAAATTAATTTTACCCATTTTTTATCTGATTTTTTTTTTTTTTTTAATATTTCTTGCTTTTTGCTGTTACTGAATTGGCAGGGGCAATTTTTCTTTAGGATTTTAGACATTGCAGCTTGGAAAGTTTAGAAAGATTTGAATGCAAGATTTATAGACCATCTATCTGGAAGATTCCAGAAAAATGTGGCAAAATGAAAAATGTCTCCATGGTATTAATACATAATTTCTTACTTTTTGGAGAACATCTGGAAGAGCAATAAAAACATAATAGTTGAATGTTTTAGTTCTGATACTAGAATCTTTTTCTTAACATTTTTATCTTCCCTTTATTTTCTTTATTTTTCACTAGACACAAGCATAAAATATCAAAAATGCTTCTAATCTTATCATATGGACAGGCATTATAGAAAATATTTTTTTTATTAATAAAGAAATTGAAAACTGACAATTTAAACAAATCATGTAATATATCTTAATGCATCATACACACTAAATTGTGCTGCTTGGTGCCTTTGTAAATTTTGCTTCCAATGCCTGTTCTAAATTCTAAAAGTTTTGACATTTCTAGATTTTGTTGCTCGATGTGTGAATAAATTCAAAAAATTCTGCCACACCAGCTCTGTAACCGGACCTTACCATATATATTGCATATTTCTTCTGAATGTTCCTATTACTATAAAATTAGCAGCTTTGTCTATACATTCTAAATGCATTTAGTATTTTTAGAATAACAGAAATCTTTAATTAAATCCAAAAACTGTAAAGGGGAAAGGAAACGGGAAAGGAAAAAACTGAATACAGTAGGAGAAAGGAAAATTATTCTTCAAAGATATGTACAGATATTATTATGTAAATTACCTAGTTGTTTACAATTCCAGCCTTTACTATAATTTCCCATTTCTATTTTCTCACTTAAACAGTTTTTAAACTGAGATTTTTGGAGTGTAAGACAAGAATGTGTTTCTGATCTCCACTTGCTCCCTGCATTAGTTTCTGCCAGCCCCGATAATTTGCAATTATTCGTCTTTGTATTACTGCTGCCGACATTTGAATTTGTTATGACAATATAGTTACTGAGTCAGCGTAAAATGAAATTGTATAGTCTTTGATGACTAGTCCATATTTTTAGTTTGCATTTGATTCTTCTTGTTTAATTACATCACCATGAGCTGTAATTGATTTTTTTAGCATAAGAACATGCTTTATGTTCTTCCTTTTAAAAAAGAAGCTTATTTAAATCTTTGTAGTTACTTTCAGATATAGCGATAATTTGCTTCACATCTGTCCGGAGGGTTTTGGACTATTTAACTTTTACCAGATCAAGTAAACCTTGATCACAATGTACTTCATAGGTATATTGTGGAGAGGTTGTCAATTTAGGAGATAAAGCACGCAGAAACTAGAGAGAGCATTGGTTTGCATATTGAGACAAATCTCTAATTTTCTCAAACCCTAATTGCCACAGCCACTTGCAGCATCAGAAGTCAGGCAGGCCTAAGTCATTTATACATTAGTTAGAGCTTAAGACTTTATTTCTTTTTCTTTTACTTATTTTTTAGAGGCATGTGCTTAAATTTTTACAAATATGTTCTTTCAGACATAAATGTACACAGTTCATGCAAAAATGATGTCATGTGTCCAAAGAGTTCAATGTCACGAGGTTCTCTAGTTAGCCATCTTATCTGAAAATCCTTTTCCTTATAGCATATAAAGTACCAGACTTGAGAGATTTTTTTTTCCTTCAAGCTGCAATTATGGTTACTTCTTATATCAACCATCTGATAATTTTTTATGAACACCCATAGGAGAAAAGCATTTATCATATAAGTGACTTTCAGGTACTTATTGGAACAGTTTGTATGAAAGGATAATACATTAAAAGAGGAAGATCTGTTATTTTCAATAAATCACTTTCTCTCACCCATGTTTATCACATATGCAGCATTTAAAAAAAATTAAATTGACTATTTGTATAATATATTCTATTACTCTCTAAGTTTCGATAATAAATGGTTGAACTCTAACTAAAACTTTAGCCATTAAAATATGTTTAAAAAAAAAAAGGTTAAAAGCATTTGAGCTTAGTTCACTCAGAAAATATGTTAAATTATGTGAAATATATAAAATTGCCTTGATATGGTGAACTAATATTTCACAAAATGTTAAATTCTAAAGATGGTGTTAGAAATGAAACTTTAGATCATGTTAATGTGTGGAATTGTCTAAAAATATCATGTAAAGATGGAAGGAAAAGTTGATGAATGAAAATGTTTTCAAGTATTAGTCTTTAACTCCTAGGCAGTTATAAAACTCAGTTTTCTCTGCTTGCTGAATCTTTAGCTATTGAAAAAAAAGATGCAGAAGAGAGACTGAAAGCTCAGAAAAAGGTAATTATGCTTTTAACTAATATTACTGTAAGAATTTTTTTGAGGTTTGTTTGTTTTTCAGTATTCATTAATGCTCAAAGCATTTTGCTGTTCTGCATTATTCTGAAAGAACATAATCAAAAATATAATATCTGTGATATGCTAGGCTGATCATTAATCCATTAAAATGAAGACAGATGGAAGGAGAAATTTCTTACCAGCATATGACATTTTTTACTTCCTTGTATATCAAGTATAGGAAGTATTGTAATCGCGAAAAATTTTGTATATCGTATTTAAACGAAAATCCATTTCAGTCGCTCTCGAAACCATTTGATTGATGTTTTTGCGTGACATCTGTACATACGGACAGAATAAATAAAATTTTTGCCAAAATGGATTCTGAAGATATTTTTTCTTGACGTCTATTCGTACATATGTATGTATTTTGCATAACTCAAAAACGAGTAGCAATAGAACGTTGAAATTTTCTATGTGGGACTGCTATAACATGTGGTTATGCACCTCTTTTTCAATGCAATCGATTGCACCAATCGTATATATATATATATATATAAATATTCCCACTCGGTGAACTTAGTATTTTATTCTTATATGTTGGTAAATTGTGCATTTTTGGCTTTAAAAGTGATTAAATTATGTGGTTTTTATGTGTTTGGTTAATCTGCATGCAATAGCTGTAGAATTATCAACAATTTTAAATTTTAAGTGACGAGTTAATTCTAACGAACCACCATCTGTGCACATTTGTAACTCCGTAGAATAGTGAATTAAGTCAGTTTCTGCACCTTCGGTGTCTTTTTGCCGTGTGTGACAAAAAGTAAACTTTCAATTTTGTGCACCGAAAAATCTACCTTCTGGTCTGCTGGCCAATGCTTCTTTTTGTCTAAAAATGTCAGCGAGTAAGTGCACAGCGTGAAAGGGTTTTAGTGGATTTGCATCAAGAGATGAGAGCCTCCAGGACAGTTCTCGAATTGGGCATCCATCCACTATCGATGAAACCTTTCTGAAGGAGAACATTAAGCATAATTCACACCAAATGTGCAAGGAACTTTGTACTGGGGTTTGGAGTGTCAAAGAAAACCATTTGATTGCATCTGCACAATCTTGGTAAGACATGGAAGCTCAGTAAGTGGTTCCCCATGTTTCAACTGCATGTTGTTAGCTGCAACGGATCGCAAATATACTGCATCAAAAGCAGCCAGCACTACTCAATGGGAAGAAATTACCATTCTTCAAGGCCAGCCCTCATATGGCAAAAGTGGCAAAGTTCTGATCAACACAATTATTTGGCAAGGTTTACCTCATCCATAGAACTCTCCAAACATTGTTTTATCTGATTATCACCTGATTTTGGCCATGGATAACCATTTGCGTGAGCAACAGCTCCAAATCTGATATAATGTCACCCAGGCCACAGGACACTGCTTTTTTGGCTGCAAAAACTTTTACAAATGCAGGATTACTAAGCCTGTAACTTATTGGGAACATGTAACTGAAGCTGAAAGAGATTATTTTTCTGAATAAAAAGTATTTGCACACAACTGCTAGGTTTTTATTTCTCGGTGTAAAGTGCATGAACTTTTTTGGATACCTGGTATTTGAAAGATTTCTACTTTTCTTCTATGTTAACATTTTTTAGATATGTTCTTGAATTTATTGCAATTACGATGGATTCAAAATAATAATCTGAATATAAAATTTTATTTTAGGTTATGAGAATGATGCAACAAGAATTCCGTGAGAATCTCAAGGAGGAAATTCGAGAGATGCAGAAAAATACGGTTGAAATAATGCAGGATACTCATTTTCGAGAACTTGATGCTGAGCAGTATAAAGCAAAAGTGCGACGAAAATTTCATTAAATTCCTGTAAAATGAAATATATAAAATATGTATATTTCTTGATGTGAATTAATGTGTAAAAAAGAGTAACATATGTATAATAAATTAAATAATGAGTTTTTAAATTAAAATATGCAAAATAAGCACATCCTTTGCAATGAGGTTTTTAATGAATTATTTGTATTTCAATAGCAGGTTTCTTATTAACTTGTCAAAGTGCTTTTAATTTTGTTTAGCCAAATTAGTTTTTTTTTTTTTTTTTTTTTTTTTTTTTTTTTTTTTTGTGTGTGTGTGTGTGTGTGTGTGTGTGTGTCCTGGGTCTGAAAATGACCTTAATATTTTTTTTCTGTGTGAAATTCCATTGCAATTCATGTTCTTTCTTTCTTGACTCTTGAGCTGAAAATTAGAAGTAAAAAGAGAGGCTGGAGGAAAAATTAGTACATATGCAATATATCAGTAATAAATATTGTATATGAGAATAAATTACTGCATTAATATGAATACTTGTTCAGAATTTTAAAGCGAACATCATGATGCAAAGTTACAAATATGAAATCTGGTAAATCAACTTCTTGCAATTTGCAGAGTTAAACTACGCATAGCACAAAACTGGTGAGTATGCAGATTTCTAGTATTGCATTTAGGAGTCATACGATAATTCAAAAACGGCGGGGGGGGAGACATTAATACTGGCAATGAAATGTGTTTGTTAAAAATTCTAAACATAAAAGAATATAACCTTTTTGAATATTTTACTTACAGAAAGATTAAAGGAAATCTAGAAGAAAACCTCACCAAGTTGCAGTGAAATTTAAAATAATGCAAAGTATTATGTCTAGGTTCAAATGGCATTTCATATATCCCGAATATGTTCCAAAACGCATTGTGAGAGGTCAGATTTCCATAAATGTAGAAGTTGAGTGTTATATAAGCTTCATTGCCTTTGTATACTGAAATGTAAACAAAGAAACAAAACTAAACTTTATTTCTCTGTCTCAGCCTTGTACCATGGGCACTATTAAGTGCCTTGAACCAAATAAGAATTTGGATGTGCTCAACAGGGACTGAAGATCATTTGAATCCCTATATACATTAGTGTGCAAAACTTATGCAACAAATGCATTTTTCATCGTATGTCAGAATGCGCAGTATGCTAGCAATTTACGTAAGGCAATTTTAAAAAAAGTTAAGGGCATTTCTAGATATCCTTCTGAAAGTAAAAGCAAGATTGTACTTTCAGTACATCTACAAAAAATATCAGGACGCCTTTGCACGGGGTAGAAGGATTGGCAAACTTGAGGGGCTAGTTTGATGAGTTTGGAATTGATAAAGTGTTGTTTCACGGGCTTGGAAAGCCTTCAGCTGTAAGAAAGGTTGCTGGTGATCGCGCAAGGGAAACATTGGCAACTAATGCCAGATATATCGACCTGCAGGTGAAAAGAAATCGAAACTAGGCCGCAGGGGATTTTACTCAGCAGTTGCGCACAGCAATAGGACAACAGCGTCTCTGTTTACTGTGGCCAAACTACTTCATAAAGGTCCGTACAGTCAAAAGTCTTTAATCCGGACTCATCGGGACCGGAATCACCTGCAGACGATTCCGGATTATAGATCATCAGTTTAAATCTGGTAAGATGGCATGCAGAAATTATAAAACTAAAAATATGAAATCGTAATTTATGAAATAAAGAGCAATTATGATCTAAAGGGTATCAAAATTTCCAAAAAAAAGCTTTATATTTATTTGTTTACTTTATGAAACATTTCTTTCAACGCACGCATGCGTAAAGCATACATTACATAGTCGAAATTAGAAAATTGCATCCAGAAAACTATTTGATGTGTATTCGTGATACTTATAATGACGAGGAATTTGATTTAAATCATATCAAAGACGGAGTACATCGAGATGAAATACTACATTAAGTAAGGAATTATAAGCCGAATAAAATAAACATCTGCCCTGAAGATAAGGATAATGCTGCCAGATCAACTTCCAGTTCATTGCGTGCCGCGTCGTTCCCCCCCCCCGCAGAGCAGCGTGAAATTGATAAACATATTTCAGAATGATTAGAGAATCAAAGGATATGCCTTTATCTATTTTTTGCAGCAATTCCACTTTTTGTTTGATGGTCATTGAAACATGCTTTCTCTTTGTAGATCCTTTGGTAGCTCCAGAATCGGAAATTCTTTTTGACATAATCGAAAGTTCAAGCTTATTTTTATAAAATTGCTCTAACAGTCTGCAAAAAATAATAAGCCGGATCCAGTTAGAAGATTAAGGAACAACACAATCTGCAACATTAACTGAAATAGATAATTTTAGCTTAGCTTATACTGTCCGTTATACATTGAACGCGCAGAAAGTTTGTAGCTTTGAGGTCCAGATTATGGACGTCCGGATTAAAGACTTTTGACTGTATTCGCACGCCGTCCTGAGCGCTACATAATATTGAAAGCAGCCCACTGGGGGCACTTCATCCGTGGAATCACATCCTTTTTACCGATGAGAGTCGTTCAGTTTGGCAAACAATTCTTGGCCTCAGTTGATAGATATGCTTTGATCTCACCAAACCAGGGAAAGGGATCATAGGGTTGTTCCTGGCGTGCTTCTGTGGGGAGGCATCTTGATGAACTGACAGATGGAGCTCCACATTTTGACATTTTCTTCTCGGAGATCATTACTGTAGTGGACCTATCCATTACCTATCCTACATACGTCTTTCCGGGATGCCACTGATCCCGACTTTTTTTTTTTATGAGTAACAGTGCACAGACACCACAGGACAGGATTTTAGTTGCATGTGATTTAATGTTTCGTTGATTTTCAGTAGTTAGTCATTTGCTTGGCCGATAAGAAATTTAAAAAATACTATTAACTATGGCGAAAAATGTGATGAAAGATGCCTTTTTTCAAGATAGCAATGAGTGTGGATGTATATGAAAATGATTCTGATGACAGCAACATTATTCCATCAATGAAGAAAAAAGATTGTATTGCAATATAGTGATTCTAGTGAAAACTTGTGAAAATATTTTAATAGTGTTAGCGAAAACTGCTTTGTCTGTTCAACCCAAAAAGGTAGAAGACAACCTGCTTATTTATGTGAAACTTATGATCGTCAATCAGGTCTGCATCCTGCTGTTTGTTTTAAACGGTATCATACACTCGAAAATTACAAATAATTTATAGTTAAAATTTTCATTTACAAAATGTTCACATTATAATAATAATAAATTAACTTTAGAAATGTCTTGCATTTTTTAATTTTACCTTCAAATAAATCACACATTAAATAAAAAAAAAAATACGAGGTGCTGAAAGTTTTACGCTAGAAAAAGTAGTGCAAAAAGTTAAATTGCTTGTCAGAGTATTTTACATTTTATCGTCATTGTTTATCCGTTTTTAAAAAAAGAGTCTCACATCGAACTCACCCTTTTATTGACGCCAGGATCCTCTAATTTTTTAACTACTCTATTATATTCCGTTCTTTTAAAGACAGGACCCAAATTTTAAATCAGTTTTTTAATAGGATGGAAAATCATAAATAACAGTTAATTTATATCCTCTTTCGCGGAAACTAAGCTTATTGAGTTCAAATAAAGCTAAGAACATTGAAGATCTTGTGATTGCATTCTGACGTCATATTTATTCCGTATTTGCCGTGAGTCATGTCGTAGCGACAATTTTTGTTGATTTCGAGTAGTAGTCTGATACGCGTTTTACACTGCTCGACATTGAAAATGCAACACCAAGAAGGAGTGGTCAAAAAGTGATGAAATTTGGAAAAAGACAGAGACAACAAGCAGCAAAAAGTGATCTTTATTTCAAAATGATAGTCAGAATACAGAGCGAGAACGGCGTCGGCTCAGTAGGATGTAGGACAACTGCGGACAGCGATGCACGAAGAAACACGTCTAGGCATAGAGACAATAAGAGTGCGGATGGTGTCCTGAGGGATGGCTCTCCATTCCCTTTCAACCATTTGCCACAGTTAGTCTCTGAACGAGGCAGGGGCAGAGTCTGCAAACGGCGTCCTATCATATACCACACATGTTGGATTGGTGACAGGTCAGGAGAGTACGGTGGCCAGGGAAGCATCTGTATACCTTGCAGAGCATGTTGGCAGATGCGAGCACTCTGTGGCCGGGCGTTATCCTGCTGAAAAATTGCATTAGGCAGTCCTTGAAGGTAGGGAATTGCCACCGGCCGCAGTACATTATCCAAGTATCGTTGGGCCGTCATGGTGCCCTGAATACGAACTAGAGGTGACCTGGAATCGTAGGCAATAGCGCCCCAAACCATTATGCCACTTTGTCGCGCGGTGGGGCATTCCACAGTTACTGCCGGATTTGATCTCTCTCCACGTCGACGCCACACACGTATGCGGCAACTGTCACTGGATAAACAGAAGCCTGTCTCATCTGAGAGCAGGACGTTTCGCCATTCTGTCATCCACATCGCTCCAGACGGCACTATTCTAAACGTTGGCGTTTATGCTGTGGGGTCAATGGCAGTCTTCTTAACGGACGCCGTGAGTGCAGGCCACGTTCAACCAATCGACGGAAAATGGTTCTGGTCGACACGGAACATTCAGGGTATTTTGCACGTGGTGCAGAATCGCGGTATAAGTGACTTGCGGGACCTCCACAGCTTGTCGGCGGATGCGTCGATCCACGCGTACTGACGTCACTCTGGCTGCACCTGCACCGCTCCTTCTTCCCACATTTCCTTGTTCCAACCATGTTCACCATAGCCGATGCACCGTGCTCGCATCCATGTGGGTATCAGCTGCGATTTCACGTAAGGACCAACTCACCCTTCTCAGTCCGATCACCATACCCCTCGTAAAATTGTCTATCTGCTGGAAGTGCCTTCGTTGACGGCGGCCTGGCCATTCTCTTCTGTTACACTTATTCTCCTGGACAAAAACCAACTTTCTTCGATAATTCTTCTGGCCGAAATAACGACACGAATATTGCCCATTCTGCACGTTTCTTCCCTTATATCTTACTTCACGTGCGTCGGAGAGCTGCGCATTTCACATCATTCGCATAACTCAATGACGTGCGTCTACTCTAAAATTTGCATAAATTTCTGACCACTCCTTCTTAGTGTTGAATTTTCAATGTCGAGCAGTGTATGATGACTATG